AGGCATTGTCAATTACATTAAACAAAGTGTGTAACTTTCGGCAGCAATTCGGAAAGAGATATGTTTTGTAGAGCAGCATATTAGCGTTAGCATTTGTGTTTGTTTGGCACGTTCAACAGCAACCTGGAACATGTTGTACCATGTTTTTGTTGAAACTTCGAACTAAGAAAGGCAAAGGCCTGATGTTAACGTGCTGCTTTCTAGACACCCTTATTCACAATTCGCTTGTAAATATTCGTTGCTCATATTAATTGGATGTGCTGCAGTAACTGCGTGACCTGCTTGGGAGGACCGTTTCTCTGTAAGTCATATTATTATGTTGCAATATAATGAAAGAATCAGTATGAATCTGGTATTCAGATACATTCTCATATAGAACCAATACTAGAACTTGTGCATCCTACGGAGCATGCAACTTATATTTTAATCCGCCTTAGTATCGATCGGCTTCAAATACATGAGCCCTTGTGCTGCAGGGGCACACGAATATACCTGTGACCGGGCTATGCTTATCAGTTAGAATAAGTAATATGAACCAAAAGACATGAATGTTCAGCATTCTAATAATGGGTGTATCTCAAAACGTCCCATTCGCATTTGAACCTTGCACATTTCGTCCTATTCTCATTTGGTCCTTCTCGTTTGAACCTTCTCATAAGATCCGAATCGTGTTTTTCGCAACTGGACCCATTCTCATCTTGCCCGTTCGCGCTACGACCGAATGGCATTACTTCGGCATGCTTCTAACGTTGGTATGCCTTCGCGGCTTTGTTGATGAGCCTTACCTTGCTTGGACCCCCAACATACCATTAGCTATATGTTATGTGTAGAGGTGCGCACTGAGAATCGTACAATGACGCGTCCTTCCCTTCCTCTAAGCAAACGAAAAAAAAAAGCGATGAACATTTATTTTGGAACCTTTGTTTGAACAGAAATAGCATACATATTAGCAGTGGTTCTCAACCATTGATGTTTCGCGGACCCCTTTAGAAAGGCGGAGATGATGGAGGACCCCGCTCGGGGTGAGGGGAATAGAAAGGTATAGGCTATCATGATAATGATTTAATAAATGAACATAACTAATTGCTAGTGTGAAGTAGACTTACCTCATTGACACACGCACGAGAGTACTCACCCAAAAATTGGAACGTTTCTTAACGACGTGAAGAAAGACAATATTGTCGTGCTTGACTGATAAGACATGGCTTCGCGGACCCCTATAGATGGCTTCGCGACCCCCATTTGAGAAACACTGCAATATAGAAGTGGTGGCATTGTCCCAGGTCGAGAGACCCCAAAAAACGTGACATTTCGGAGTATGATCTGGCTGCGATAAATACTTGGTCTGTTTTATTGTCAGCTAGTAGCTTTTCACGACGATCTCGACGCACTGCTAAAATCCTTGGCAGAGAGAGTATGCCTGTAGCGTGGCACACACACACACACGCACGCACAAAATATATCAATGTACTTACTAATATAACCCCTCCCCCCCCCCAAAAAAAAAACACGATTTTCGTATAGAACGAGTCAAGTGCGACGGGTCAAAGCGAGATATTTTTGAGAATGGCTGTTTTGAAAAGGGCGAAACGAGAACGGACTCAAATGAGGAGGGTTGAAATGCGAAGGACGAAACGGGAAAGGACCAAATGCGCCAGGTCCAAGAGAGAAGATCTTTTTGAGAATGGTTGTTTTGAGAAGGGCCAAGTGAGAAGGGCGAAACGAGAACGGGCTCAAATGATAACCTCCCTTTAATAATAACCAGAATATTCTGCTTAAGCACTCCAGGCAAGTTTTTTTTTTGTAATATTGCATTTACTGGTACTGTGAATTCCTTTTTTTAACCGAAGTATCGTTGGGTACAACTTTACTAGACAGGCGAGCTGGTTAATATGACATTCTACAAACCGAGATGGAGGCTTCGAAGACATACGTTTCAATTGAGACGGATGTGTTCGTCCTTCTTTGTAGCCTCCGTCTCGGGTTGTAGAATGTTTTGGCGTTGTGTGCTGACACAAGATCCGAAATGTGTCCAGTTATTACTGAGAACTGATGCCAGTAAGCTGAACCGTTTTTTTTTTGTTGTTTTTTTTTGTGTACAATTACAATTCGTCTTGATGCACGGATCAGACTTGGAGGCTCATGGTGTCTGCACGGACTGTCCAAATTAAGGGCGTGTCTCGGCTTGAAAGTATACTATAGACGAGGTTTAGAATCTGTCCAGATTAGATTACTAACCGATAGAGAAGTTAAAGAAGGAGCCAGGAACTCCTTAGCTTCTGTTATACATCCTCCTCTAAGAAATCCCACCCATTATTTATGTTATCTTTTTTTTTTCAGGCGACTTGTGGCAATGAACCCGCAGGAGGGGTCCCGGCAGTCGTCAAGAAAAGTTGCTCTGGTACATCTGAAGGCGCAGGGAGCGCTCCAAGAGTTCTCGAAGTTCCAAAAGAAGTGTAAAGAAACTTCGGTGCTTGTTTAGATTAATCTTTCTTTTCTATTGTTAATATTACAATTTGTTGTATAGGCCAAGATGGTTCTTTTCGAGATGTAGCATGTCAGCATAATTTTTGGTCACATTTTTTTAGGAGACTGCTCACTTTGATATTTTTTTTATGGCTGAGCTGCCCCCCCCCCCCCCCAAATATTTGCGGCATGAACTGTGTTTTTTTTTTTATTGTGTATCTGCTCTAGTCATTTAAAAGAAAAATAAATGTAAATATTTTTGAAGCAGCAAACTGTTCAGTCTTCTTTGCAATGGGTCCGTTGCTATGGGTTGGAACCAAAAGGACCAAGCGTGAACTTAGTTTGATAACGATTTTTTTACAAATGTTTATCTGCCTTTATCCCCGTCACTACATGTACAATGCTCTCTAAACTTGACGTAGCATGTGAACACTTTCTCATGGCATTCCTGGCTGTTCTATTGAGTATATATGTCACAGATTCATTGTTCTGTTTTCAGGATAGTGCTCGCATTAGATACGACAGTTCAAATTTTCCATAGATACAAGTTTGGGGAACATTTGCGCATTGCAGGTAATTTTATGTTGCAAAGACGTGCATCAAGTTGCGCTTGCAAACTGCCAGGACATCCCTGTTTTGCATGTCGCATATCAACTTTTTCAAGGAGGAGCTTGGCATGTGACATACAAAGCCCGGATGTACTCATGAATAGCGGCAGTAACATAAAATGGGGCGAGTACTATCACAAACAAGACTGAACTTTTTCCGTACGTACAAGAAATGAACCTGTGTCGTTTTGGACGCATTGGAACATGTAATGTACTTCGTAAAAATGGTACATGTTCTGACATGGCTTGCAACAGAACATGTGCTGCTGTGTGCTACGATGGTACATTTCCTGTAGCATACAGTACTTGTTCCGTGATGATGGTGTATGGAACTTGTTGTGGCTGACCATACAGCAACAACATGTCCCGTACTGAAGAAGTATGGAACATGTTCTGTAGTCCGGTAATACAGTACATGTTGTGGCAACAAGGTTAGCATGTATGTGTCCCATATTTTGACAGGAGTTTTTCTAACAGTGTTCTTAAAAACTGCCTTCTATGCATTATATGAGTTTGGAGATAAAGGTCACTGCCAATGTTTCTTTATGTATTTTTTTCTCGTGCCATAAATAGCCAACAAAAACAACGGTAACAATAAAGTCATCATTTCTGCTTTGACATTTGATGAGGAACCGTACAAACGTTGCACTTGTTTACGGTCGTTTCTTGCTTTACTGTATCATTACTGAAATCCGGATAGAACAGAACGGTAAGCTTTCTTTACATCTTTCTTTCTTTCTTATTAAAAAAATAGACTGTTTTTTTTTTCTTAATATTTGCAAAAAGCGGCAGCGGCTTTTGAGTTATCCCAGAAATACAGCTCCCGGGCTATGATCACCGACAACTTAATAAGCCACCGGGTGCGGCTTATAATGTTCACGTTCCATGCTTCTTGATTGGGTCTTAAGCATTCTTACACGTGCATGCCGCAACCTCATTGGTCGCGGGTCGATAATGAGATAATCAGGTTTCGCCACGCCATGCGTTGCTGACTATAATGCACTGCGAAATAGGCCAACGCGAGTGAGTATAGAATTTCATATGGGAAACAAAAAAACTTTTAGACAGCGTGCAGTCCTCTGTTCTCTTCTTCGCGTGCCGGTTACTCTGTGTGTATGAAAAGAAAAACACACTCACCCAAGCAAGCACACACTCAAACAAACACTCACATTCCCACGTACGCACGCAGGCACGCACGCACATATGATGCACACAGGCACATGAGAGAGAGAAAGAGAGGATGCCGACACTACGAGGTAATAGGACCAAACGAGCAGCGTCAAAGATGCAAGTCACGAGGCCTTTTCTCTTTATGATTGGTTCAGCGATAATAGAAAACGTACAGAAACCCGGCGAACGACATGATGGTGCGCTTCCGATGCCGTCCGATTGGTACCATCAGCTCGTAGCGTCGGCTGCGACTGAATTAAAATGCCGACCTACATAATCAATCGTCTTCAGCCGGGCACAACACCGGTTCCCAACTTCCTTCTCTCCATTCCCTCTCGAACTCCTTCTCTCCTACTTTCCCCACAAAAGTGGGTCTCTGAGCTACTCCCCGCAGAAAAGAAAACTATTTCCTCCTTCCTCAGACGTAAAAGAGGAAACAGGGCTTCCTTGTTTCTGACTGTTCGTCTAAGGAGAAACGAAGTGTAGCAAAAAGTAAGAGGAAGTTTTAGTGTTTAAATTTTGTTGGCGACATCCGCCAGCCCCCTCTGTACGATCATTATGAAGGTAGCAAAACCTATATACCGTAAAATTCGACACCAGCAGCACCATCACCCTACACCCCCCCCCCCCCCCCCCCCCAAACCCCCTTTTACAAAAATACAAAAAAAAAAAAAAATCAATTATGGTAAAAATTAAGTTTTTAAGTTCTGTGCTTCCTACTTTTTGCGTTCAAAGTCACGTGTTCGCGCTTTACAGGGATCCCAACGTCGACAAACCCGAAAACACTGAAGGGTCGGACCAGACATTTGCGTCCCCTAACGGCGACCGGAACGACGGCGGAAAAAACGGAGCATCATGGAAGCCCGAGGTAATCTGGCCCAAGTACACGAAGGAGAAAAATGAATATTTGGCACTGGACATCAACGAAGCGGTGGGCGAGAGACACAGGCAGAAGTACTGCACCTTTTGGAAAACATACAGCCCGAACGCCCCTGCTTATGATGGTAGGTTCTTTCCTTTGGTCACTGTAGACAAGCATGTTTGGCCGTGATTCATTAAAAATTTAAAAAAAAGAAGCTTAATGAGCGTTTTTTGGGCATCCCTTATACTATTGTTTCCCTTTGCCTTTGTTGCAGGCTGTTGACTTGCTGCGAGCGCCCTTCGTTGTTCTCTCATGGACTAAATAAAGTGCTGTGTGTTGTAACCTAAGATATTTTACCTCGACATCATATTAAAACTTTCTGGTAATATAACCCCACTCATCTCATTACAAGAAGTCCCTCGCCTTGTAGTACGCGGGGCAAGAATACGGATTTGGTTTACAGGGTGTTCGTCTGTAGGCTTTACAGAGGTGTTAAAAGAAAAATAAAGTCGTAAAAGCTACACTAATGCGGTTTGTGCAGGCAGGTTATTCTTCCAGGGGGACACAGTATAGGGGGATAATCGTCTCGATAAATCGGGTAATTAACTAAAATATGTTAATTCACTTTATATTTAGTTAGAATAAACGCATGGTTCAAATTAGAAACCTGCTGAGCGTCATCGAAAAACACGAAATCAATTTTAGAAAGACTTTGAGCGCGTGTGAAGCGCAGTAGTGCACTAAAGTCACCACTTGTGCAGCAGGAGCAAGGCCGGGGTCTACCGGGGTGATAACGCGTCCGCACACGTTTTTTCCGTCTCTTATCACCCGTGTTTTCTCACCGCCAGCCTTCTTTCTGCCCGTTGCACGAGCGGTAACCTTAGCGCACATCTGCGCTTCTCACGAGTTCAAACACTTTTGTAAAAATGACTGATTTAGTGGTTTCGATGACGCTCAAAAAGTTCCTAATTGGAACCATGTGTTGTTGTTTTTTATTTTTGCAAAACTTCAAAACGTTTTGAACAAATTTCAGTCTTAAGGAACTTATCCTGACTATTATCCCCTATTTTATCTCCCCCTGGCCGCATAACTCACATACACAAACTGTATTCGTGTAGCTTTTACAAATTTCTTAAAAACAAATTTCAAAACCTTAAAAAAAAAAGTTGGCCGAAATCACTGCTGCCGTTACGAAATGATTCTCGAAGAAATGAGTGAGCATTTCACGCAGCGGTTATATATAACAAAGCATACATGTTGCGCATACGGGAGCGACGACACCGTGTGCTTACAACCAGGTGACGTGTGAAGACAATTGCGCG